GTACCACAAAAAAAAAAAAAAAAAAAAAGTGGGGGGATGGATTTTATTCAAGGTGTAATAGGGAACTGCTGAAGGATTTTGGCTTCTATTCTCTTAGTAAAACAAAAGGTGAGGTCACCACTAAGAGTGATGAGGGAGATAAGAGGTGAGGTTTAAAGCATGAGGAGAAAGTAAGAACCTATTCTTCTGGAGAATGGAGGCGCCAGCTTGCTGGAGAATCACCAGGCAGTGCTGAGTGCCCATGTGGGTTTTGTAAGTGTGAATTTAACATGAAACCAGTCAGCCCGGTTCTGTGCCTTTCTCTGCAGTTGTTAACTCTGACAAGGCGGCAAAGAGAAGACAGGTTCATCCACGATTAGGGTTTTGCTAGGAGACGCCGACAGAATGAAAAGAGGATGGATGTTTGATTTCCAGATTTTGGCAATGGGCAGATTCTGGTGATGACAAGATCCCGGGTATGGCCATGGCAGTAGGTGGCTGAGGTGTTTGCAAGTAGGTAGCAGATTGTGACTGAAAGCAGATGATCAAAGAACAAGAGCCAGAGATACCATAGGCTAGAGGGTTCATCCGTATAGGACTGAAGCTTTGAGAGGGAAGCTTTGGGGGCACTGAGAGAAGGCCAAGAGCCCAAGCTCTCACTGTGTAAGAGGAAGGCAATCAGACGATAGGGTGGGGAATGGCACAAGCTTCAAGAGCCTGGTGTCGTTTTTCCCTTCAGGATGGAAGAGAGTTTCTGGAATCGGTTATGGAGGAGTCTATTCTTTGTTTAATCTCTGCACAATTCGTTTTGAGCTAACAGTGCTACAGTGCTTGCCTTCTCACGTGCAGCTAGTGTGGAGCCATGAAGGGGACAAAGGCCTACCATGTAATACTTGATTTTCTGCAGGATGTCATCATTGGTCATAATAAGTTCTTTTGCCGTTGTCCCATCTGCTATGTTGGCTAGGATGCACAGTGTCTGGAAAAGAACAAAGGGCCAGCGATCAGGAAAGCTCTGAAGTCCTCAGACTCAAGCTCTCTCAAGAACTTAGGCAATTTCCCATCTGAAGTACATGGATTCTCACAGGTTCCACTCTGAATGCCCTGATTTCTTATCTCATAACGTCATTGCCAACAAAAGTAACCACATCTAAGGAAAGTCTGCCTTAGCTAAAAGAGAGCCCAAATGTTTCAGTGGCTTCCTTCTGGGCATAAACCATCACTGCTAGGCAAAGGCAGCCATAGTTCATGCTAGCACATAAATCATAGGGAAAATGTAATTTATTAATATTTTCTTGAAAATTTCATTTTTAAGAGAAGCTCTTGCTACTAACCCACAAGGTTTCTTCAAAGAGGTAGTCTCTTTGGTAGAAACTTCAAAGGTGTTATAACTCCCCCCTACCTCCCCTTCCAAATACCACTTGCTTCCAAGCTCATGACCTTCTGGATCCCCGTCCACTAGCCACATGCAATGAGGACCTCTTGACTTTTTTGAACCCTACTGGAGGAACAGAAAGGGAAGCAAAATGTGTGAAGAAGCTTAGTCCAGGCTGGCCTAATGTGGAGGATAGAGGGAGCCTGTGCCAGCTGGCAGGACAGTCTCATTATGAGGACAATCAGCACGCTGGTACTGGAGGAAAAGACTGTTCTCGTTGGTTGTTACATTCTCACAGCCAGACCAGCAAGAGGCAAGGATTAAGGTAAAAGTGAATGGATGGTGACAGGAACACTGAGCCAGTGACAGCCCTAGCAGTTCAACAAACGTTGGCCGAGCACCTATAACGTGCATGCACTCCGCCCACTCCACTGGGCAACAGGCTGAGACAGGAATAAGACACTCTCCCTAACTCCAAAGCCAGTACACAATTACATTTCACTGTGGTGCAACTGAGGTAAAAACACAACTGAGGACAAAGGATTAATCCCC